TGAGAAATAACACAGAGAGTAATTTTGGTTTCCTGTAAGCAAACACCAACTAGGGGCAAACTGGGAGAGTAACCATCTGAAGCTCACCCCCCCGCGATTACCCTGAAGCCGCGTAATATTCCAGCTGTAAGAAGGCCATGAATGGCAATGAGTACAGATACTTGAAATCCGCAGGTAGAGGGGTTCCTACGGACTAGCAGGGTTACGAAAGAGTCCACATGCGGGAGGCAGAGGAAAATGGTTCAGCAGCGAAGGAACGGTGCGCTGTGAAGAAAGGAAGTTGCGGCAGATGGAGGCAGAGAGAAGAGGAAGAGCGGAGGTAGGATCATGTCCCATTGATGTTTGGTCCCTCTGCAATTATATTCAGAAGATTAGCTTCAAGTGTTTCGGGAATTCATAGATGTCGTATGGAGACAATATTGGGAATGGTAGGGAGAATGAGTAAAGATTGGAACTGTATTGGACCTTACAAGGAGGGGGGGGGGGGCGAAAGGGTGGAGGGAACTGGAGAAGCGTGGCAGGGGACAGAAGATACAGGAAACCTGGGAGTGTGGCAGAAGAGGAAGAAACTTGGGAGGGAACAGGGGAGGAAGGTAACATTACGAGGAGGAGTGTGATCCACTGCACTTGTTAACGAGTCCAGTGAGAGGGGAATGACTAGGACAGAGACAGGGAGGTAAAATGAGGAGGTGGAAGATGGGTAGAAGGTGTTACCGGACCTTTTTTTGACGTTTTGAGAAGTAGAGGGGACGATTGGGACAAGGTGTCGTACGAGCTCTCGTCGATACTGAGCTTGTAAGAGAGAACTTCGCAGAAGCGATATTAGACTGAGGCGTTGAAGTAGGGACGTCCAAGGCCGAGGACAGCAAAAGTATTAGATACAGGAGTGAAAAGGGAGAGGTAACCACAGAGGTGGGTGTATAAGAATGGGGATACCAGTAAGTGGGGACGTTTTTGTTGAAACACGGGAATAAGAAACACTGGGAGTTCACCCTTGGAGGCGGAGATGAGAAACTGCCTGGCATTAAAGGTAGACCTTCTGTCACTTTTGAGGTAACGGATTTCCCGCTCTGTTTAAATAGACTGACAACGTGCGGAGAGTACGAATGTTGAGCCTCATGACAGTTAATGCAGGAGAGGGAGAATCGATTGCAAAGAAAAAAATACGTGATTAGAATGGTCATAGCGCACCACAGACGGGCCATTTCGGCGATGATAGCAAGATCTCGCTGGATTGCCTAATCGCCAGCAATTTCTACAGCTGTAGTGGTGTAGGGATCACCTTTTTCGAACTTTGTAACCGCTGTCCTGCTATATACACGGAGATGGAGTTCTCGGCTGTCAAAAGTTAAACGAGCACATTGCTAGGTATCCGCTCCGCCCACGGGCAGGAAGAAAACGTACGTTCTACCTAGGAGATTGGAGATATGGAGTCCAGCTGTTCTAGAATGTCGGTGCACATGTCTGGAATTTTGTTGAACTAGTGGTATGGGCAGATAACAGTACCACTACTAGAATTGAGGGAATGATGTTCCTTCAAGGGTGACAGGAACATTATCTATATGGGAAAGACAGAGAGGCTTCACGAGCCTGGGTATCATTCTGTGACCGGTAATGAATGCACGTACCGCCTAGAGCATGAAAAGAAATATCTTTACCAACATGGCGTAGGAGGTGCCTTGGCCAATACTATGGCAGAAAGATAGGCAGTAGAGAAGTACGTCGTAAATTGAAGAATTTAGTCCCACTAGTTCAGTCAGAACTGACGTGGAAAGGTAGTGAAGGACGTGTGCGATCGATTTAGAAGAACAGAGAAGTGAAGTTGGAGAATTATCATCAGCAGGTAATTGCGTTGACGGTTTAGGCGTGGGACCAGGTTGGTCCCACGTGAACGGTCGGCGATTTGGAAAATTGCCGGCACCGGTAGAGGGAGAGGCCGGAAGCAATCGTCAGAGGATAGCGAAGGTCTTATAAATCGAAGGAGTCCAGTCGAGGCCTCAGACCTGAACGGGTGATGAAACAGCACCGGCAATAGGTACAGAGGCATGAAGGAAAATGTCTTGAAAGTGGTCCAGAAGACGAGGGCGGCTCAGAAACGGGGTGCGGTATCAAAAGGGGCCCGGGGTACCAGGTTTCATGGACAGGGCTGCAAGGGTTAGGTTACCTTCTTCTTTTTGTTTAAGAAAAAGAAAAAAAAGCAAGAAAAGAAAATAAAAAGAAAAAGAAAAAAAAAAAGGGGGAACCGGGGAGGGATATTCCTAGAGGAAGGAAAGGGCCAGAAATCTCTCCCTCTTCCGCGCCCAGAGGAACTCGACACCGCTAGTAGCGCAGATGCGCATGGAACCGTGCCAATACCCTATACCCTCATGCCAGTACACCGCATCTGGATAGCAAACCTCACATCTGCGAGCTACGTCGGTGGACAAAAGGAGAGGGCGCCGGAAATCCGCCACAACGGCATACCTTCCCTCTCAGCCACCACCCCGCGAATCCCGAAAGGTGCTTCCCTGAGATTCACCCTCGCCCAAAAGACACCCAAAGCTACTCCGGGATACCGGAGAGGGATCGGACATCCCTAGGCTATCCAGATTCCACTGCAAACTAGGCGCACCGCCAAGAAACCCAACGATTGGGATGGAACCCGGTGTCCTTTCGCCCTACCTAGGAACTAGCCGCCTGTAGAGAAATCACGAAGGCTAAAAAGAGGAAGGCATAAGGGAGGGATTAGGAGGAAAGGGTAAAATGGGGAGGATGGGATGAGGAGGAGAATGGGGTAATTAGTTCGTCTGAGGAAGAAGACCGACAGGGCTAAATTCCTCAGAACGCAAGAGCCTCTCACCACGGTCCAAGGACCCCACGCTTGAAAGGGGGGAATGGTCATAGATCGCAGAACACTCGGACTGCAATTGGTGGATATAAACTAGGAGCCAATTGGTATTAGATCCTAGTCCTATCCGAGCCTCATCTACTTCAATCATCTGCATTAATCAGCAGCCCTGCAAGTTGGGGACTCTTAAATGCATCTCTTCCGGATCTTTCAAATACAAGAAACTACACAGGCCCTAGAATAACCCATAGAGGAACCCCCCCCCCCCCCACAATCACATGCGCCCACCGACAACTTCAGCCTACCATCAAGTGTTCCTCCTGTCGGGTACTTTCCCCCCTCCTCCCCCCCCCCCCCCCCTACACTAGTACCTTTCCTTGATATTGGGCTGTGCCTTTCTAGTTTTTGCCCTATTCTAGTAACAAGAACACACCTTCACCGACTAAGAAAAGCAGTCTCGTACCTCATCTCCTGCCAACTTCCTAAAACTAGCAAGGTTTGCTACACAGGATGTCACGCTCCCTGAAACCGTGCCCGATTAGTAATAAAAAGCTTTAGCTTTCGGGTCTCCAACCAGCGTTTCCTGACGAAGTACTCCACTTCTATTCAATACTGTCAGTAACATTGGTCCTAGTTTTAATGCTACTTAAAAATTCTTAAAAGTGGCTAAATTTGTCCCCCCCCCACCGTGTAGTTGCTTCAGTTTATAAGAGCAGCGTTTGATTAGTGTTGATCTGCTTCCTCACGAGTCTACGGAATAGTGCCTTAGGGTATCTAGCCTCTGCTCATGTGTAGTGTCCATACCTTTTGAACCCTTCCATACTTGGATTTCAGGAGCAGTCTACTACATGCTTGATGTATACCGATTAAAAGCAAATCTAGCCAACTCCCCCCGCCGAGCTAATTAGGTAAACTTTAATCAGAATTAATATTAAAAAAGCGCTAAACTAAAGGGCCAATACAGCGCTGCGTTGCAGCAGGAAAGTTATACTTTCCTGCTGCAGATCATATCTGGGTCACCTTGATGGCGTGAGCCGTGAATTTAAAATTTCACAAACCATGCCAGATGGACAAGCCCTAAAATATATGAACACGTTTACTTTCAATAAACAGCAGTTACAAATTGGTGGAACGGGTGGAAACGTAACCTACGGCCAAGAATTAAGTTCCAGGGCAATTAGTTTACTGAAGTGGGGTCATCCAACTAAGACTTTTCTAAACTTTGGCAATCTTTCGCAAGAGGAAGATTTAAGGAGTTTTTTGAACTGTGGGGCTAAAGAAAATTTTTTATCAAGTAGGGCAAACTAATTTCCTGACAGAGCCCTCACTGCCATCAGGAAAGAGGGGGGGGGGGTGGACTAAGTCACTATGAGATCGACAAGCAGTTTTCGAGCCAATGCTCGCTCTCCTGCCCCGTAGACAAATAGGTAATGGTATCGTATCACCCAAGAATCTTCGGTAGCAAGGCTCGGAGGGGGTTTGATAGATGTGTCCAGCTTTTAGCTATGCCTGCGAAAATAACTAATGTGGTCCCCCCCCCCCCGACAGATCCACTAAAGAGGGGGGGGGGTGAGGAGAAACTGGTTAGACTAGAAGTAGTGACTAATTGAGGAACACGCTGAACGCTCGTAAGGATCATACATCGTCTGTGGGATGGGGGGTGGGTGGGGGTGAAGGAAATTAAAGGTAACCCGGGTAATTTGAATATACATAGGTCTTTAGATCAAGAGTACCTTACTAGCATAAAGGAACCTCGTTAGGGGGTGCTTCCCCCCCTACGTTTTTCATTTATAACCACGGGAATAGAGGAAAATTTAATAGTTTAGCGTTAACAAGTTATGTTAAAGTAAAAGGCATTTAAGATTTCGTGTATTAAAGATCGCAAAAATATTGCTTTCAGAAATTTATTGACATACCAGTCAAACGCATCAGTAATCTTTGTTACCACGCTTTTCACAGTCTCGGACAACTTAACTCATTGTCCTGGCAATTATATACAAGCGTAGATTTAGGGTGGTAATCCTGGTACTCTGGATCACAGATGCATTCTTCGCATCCAGTCTCTGGATTTTAGTGTAGATTATGGAACAATCTTTTGGCACAGCGCAGTAAGTAGATGGATCTATTGGACAATCGCAGTTGCAAGTCAGACAGTTAGTTGCTGCAGAAACGACTACTTGGCATGTGCGGGGCAGTCTATGTGGAATACAGGGGGCAAATGTGGGGCAGCGATCCCAGTGACAGGGCCATTAACATCAGTGGGACAAAAGGCCAGGTGGAACCACATGTATCTTGATTCCAGTTTGGTGCAAATTTGCGTGACAGCCAAGAAGGGACATAACTGGAACGTAGAAGATAATAAGTATATTACACCAGTGAATAGTATAAATAAAGCGTACTTTTAAATAAAAATGCATTAAGTAGTTACCTAGAGGAGAGTCTGAAGCGTTACAGCTAGAGTAGGTACAGATTGCTGCCACCACGGACACATTCGCACCAATTACCACACTCGTCCTTCATCCATCCACGATCCGGTCCTTTGCAACGAGGTTTGTACCCAGAGGGTGATTTTGTAACCTAAAAGAAATCAATGTCTTGGAAATGGGTACAAAGTTTTAATTTAAAAATTGTCCATCCCACGGTATTTAGGAAAAAAAGTCCCGAAAAAATTAGAAAGCTGCCGTACCTAATATTCACAACAATTTGTGCAAGCACTAGGGTGCCTGGGCTGGTACAGCTGCAAGTGTTGCAGTTTGTCATCCACGAGGAGCCGGGTGAACAAGTGCCGGAGGAAGGAGGACCATGTGGCACCCATGAATCTAAAAAAAATCTAAGTTACAACCTTCCGTTAAAGGCCTTTCATTGTTTCAGCAGTTGGTAAAAATGGCTTGAAATATGAGAATCTAGTACTTAAGGTTCAGTAATATTGAACTAATTATAAAAGAGTAAAGTTACCACGAGTTCTTGCGAAGATAAGCTTGATTTGCTGGAGGATAATCTGAAGCTGTATTAGCCAGTCTGACATCTGAGAGGCTGTGGCTCCAGTACTTCGCATCATACACAAGTCCCAGGCGCACGCCTCTGCCAGTGTACATTAAAGATCAATGGATACGTAAAAAATAATGTAATAATGAAGGGAAGAAGTCTAATTTAAAGGAAATTTAGTTTGTTAGAGGAAAGTTAACAAAGAAAAATAAACTTAGGATTATAGGCCAAAGCAGTGAGTTTTGGCAACTTGGGAATGAGAGTTTAAGAAAAAAAAGTTAAGTTACTTCAAGGGAAGGGAATGGGGGGGGGGGGTTTGAGCCCCTGTCCAGCAAATTTTTACCTAAATTTAAATCTAGGCCTTTAGTAACTTCGGTATGCAATGAAAGGTTGTTCTAGGCCATGACTTACCAACGTGAGGCTCCAGCTCCACGTCCCTGCCTATAATGGGGTTCATTAAGCTTTGGCACTGAGCCAAGTCTTCCTTCAGTGGTGCTGGCTGACATGGGTCCACCTGCAATGAAGGTTTTTAAATGGAGACTGAATTTTTGTTTAAAAGGTTAGTCAAGGCAAATTTACCCCAGGCTCTTACCAGCATGATTAACTTAGTACTACATAATTAAGTAAACTAGAAAAAGAGTATCCATAAGTACGCTTTATTACCAACTAGTTTCAACCCTCACGAAACCTAAATCCCACTTACTGCAGTTTGAGCGTCACAGCCGTTGCAGTGTAAACAATGGGTATTAACCTGATGCCGGGTCTGGAAATAAAGAAAAGTTCAGTGTATTTGAAGTATAGTTTTAGGTAATATTTGCAAATGCTAGAGTATATTAAAAGTCTAACCCGCCAAGACTCTGGGAAAGCCAGAGGAAAGGACTGGAGTTGATAGACGGCTGGTGTCGTCTGTGAAGTCATCCACTTCGTAGAAGTTGAAGTGACCACACAGGCCGTCTAGGTGGTTAGTGTGGCTGGGGTAGGCCCATATGTGGAGGCGACCAGGGCAGTGTTGAATCTGGAGTAGATTTTTTTTTTTTAAACAAGCCAGCAATTTCGTTGCATGGTTTAGATAGGTTCATGAAATAGTTAAGGTAAAATAGTTTAAATTTAAATACCACAATTTTTGAAGACCCCAGGAAGTAAATACAATCAGTCTCTCTCCATGTCAGGACTGGTTGAGCACCTTGTGAAGACTGAACATTAGCCACACACCGTTTGTGGTACAGTGTATTTATCGCCATTGACAATTACCTGTAACAATGGAATGGTTAAAGACAAAGAAATTATTAAGGGAGAACAGATTCTGCAGGCTAGAGACAAAGATTTAGCAGTTAGGGACAGTTCAAGGCCTTTACATCAAAGGTTGTCGAGCTGCAATCAATTGTGATCACTGTATGAGCGTTGTCCTTAAAGGTGGTTTGTGAGAGGCATGAAGCGTGACCTTTGCAGAACTGGAAGGTACTGTAGACCCCAACTTCCGGAGTGTAGCTGAAGTCACTTTGGGCAAGAGAATAGTTGCACAATCCATTCCAGTTGTAGTAGTAACCGTCGAAAGTCTTAATGTGTGGGTCGTTGTACAAGTAGCAGTGTTTACCTGAAAGCAGGTTAGTCACTTCAGAATTAGCAGCTTAATATTTTATATTTACTTTCTAAAGGGAAACCTAAACTTACAGCATTCTTCAATCTTTTGAGTTGGCGTCCAGGCACCGCCAACACACACTAAGGGGATGCACTGAGCTACCAGCTTAGAGCCGTTTTGATACATTAATCCATCGAATTCACAGCCTGCAAAGGAAGCTATGTTAAAGGACGTATTTTTAAAAAGTAATTAGAATCTAATAAACCACCTTGTGTATAGAGAGGTTAAGTACCATAACATGTACTTACATAGAGAGGCTCCTGGGCCGCCGACGAAGTGTTTTTGAATGAGTCCGTTCTCACAGACTAGCGAGAGGCAGCAGGAAGGAAGACTGAGTGCTACTTCTCCGTGTTTTAGAGTTGAAGTGCCGAAGCAGCATCCCTGAGTTGATGGCTTTCGTGCCGCAACTGAAATGGCAGAATGGAGGACAAGAACATTTAAGATTTAAGGCGGAACAGAGTATGTAAACAGTAACCATGAGTAGTGCAAGAATAATACTCACCTAGTGAAGGTAGAAGCAGTAGAAGTGTTGTGTAGAAGCCCATTTTGAACGGAAATTCCTGTAGAGAAAATGTAGAGGGTTTAAAACGTTGGAAGTTGTATAATGTATAGCAGCAACCTATTCCGGTTGAAGGATTTTATATAGGAAGTTCATAGTCTTCCATTTACATAGTTAAAACGACAAGGTGGCAAGTGCGTGGAAGTCATTTGACTTCGGGTGGAGGGAAAGTGGGGTTAAGCCCGTAGCCTGACTGGTGAAGCTTTCCAGCTAACCATTCAGGTCCCAGGCTAGATTAAACCATACCACGGTGGGGATAGAAACCCGTGATCAATCGCGAAATCCTAGACAGTCGCGTTAGCTACAGTAAGATTTATCCAACTAGGTATAATTTTCGTTCCCGCCCGTGGTGTGGTTCGTTTATAGTCTAAGATTTCGTGAGCACCTAGGTTAGATTTTCAGCAGGGGTAGAAGTATTTAGACGTTGTCTTACACTTTTTACCCTGTTTATGAAGGCGTAGGTACCCCCAAGGGGTTTTTTATTTGGTTGGGTGTGGGTCGGGGGGGGGGGGGGGGGGGGGGAACAAGGAAAGAAAACCACGTGGAAACTACTTTTTGCCCTTCTGCTTTAGTTTATGCGTTTGAGTTGGTCGAGAGGGTATGTTAAGTTTTTAAACCTAGGGGGTCATGTTTGATCAAGTTATTTTTAAGAAAAATCCCCTTAAAACAGGGACTTTAAATTTTCAATACCGGGTTTAAAAATAATAAAGTTCACAAAAAAGTATAGGGACCCTTTTTTAAGTTTAAGAATTTTTTAAAAATAAAGGGGAAGAAAAGGTTTAAATTAGTTTGATTTTTTAAACATTAATATTGCGTGCATTGGAAAAGATAATTGTTTAAAAATTTTAAGGGTAGAGGATTTATAAGGCAAACGTTTATAAAAGGGACATTTATTTTTTCGGGGGCCCAAAACGGGGGATTTTAAGGTTTTTGTTTTCCCAGCATAACATTAAGTATTCAAAACCAAGTTATTCTTTTCTGGAATTTGGAGTATTAGTTTTAAATTTAAAGAGGGGGAAAGGGCCCTTGGGAACTTTAATTTTTAAAGGGTTACAAAGATTGCTTTAATTTTTCATAGAAGAAAAAAAAAAAAAAAAATTAATTATTTTTAGTAGGAATTATTTTTAAATTAAAAATTAAAGCCTTTTAAAAAAAAAAAAAAAAAAATGTTTGTAATGACTTTTGGTTAAAACCCCACACAATAAAAATCTTTCCAATAACGGAATTTTATAAAATCGGAAAAGTCCCAAAGAGACTGTGGGAAGATGATGTTGACTGGGACAGTACCAGCCCAACTGACCCATGCTCCTCCGGGGACGCCCCCTTTCAACTACTAAACCCTATAAAAGCGGTTCATGGACTCATTACTGCTTTCATACAGTTCATAAAAAACTCGCTGTGTTTGGGTTTAATTTGGGTTTAAAGGGAGGTTTAAGGGGCACGTAACTTCTCCCCGTCGGTTGGGGGGGGTTTTGACCCTTTCAAGGAAGGTTCCTTAAATGTTGGTGGGGGGGTTCTTGATTTAGGGAATTGGATCTGTGTTTCCAGTTCCCCCGAATTAACCTGAATCCCTTCCACACCCCCCCCCAAAGGCGCTGTTTTAACCCTCCGGGTTTAGCGTTTCCCCCTTGATTTAATAAAAATGTAGAGGGTTTGAAAAGCTCAAAACTTCTACAAACAATTCTTATAAAAAAATTTAAAGTTATCCCAAAGAATTAACAGAAAAAGGAAATGCGAAAAAAGTAATTAGGGAAACAGGGGTAAAATTATGTGAAAAAATGAACTGTTAACAGAAAAACGGGGAACTTACAAAACCTCTTAAAGACTACCGACTACACGAAAACCTTCTACCAAAAAACAAGATTCTTAATTTTTTAATACCAAAAATTTACTTTCCTCCCCCAGTCCCGGGTTTGGGGGGTAGACGTTTGCTACACCTTTTCTGACAGGCTGTAAACCAATGGTGGTTGGGGTCCACCGCAAAATTAAAACTGTTGGCATAGAATTCTGAGAGGTAAAATTAATAAAGGGATTCGGGGGTTGACGTTGTTGCCTCTGTTATTCGAGAAAATTTTGGGGAATTGAGGATTGCGCCCTTAAAAAAGGGAAAAAAACCCCGAATTTTTCGTGAAATGCTGTCTTTCACAGGTGTATGGGGAAATTACTCGATCAATCGGGGGTTGTTCCCTTCGGGGTTTAAAGGGAAGGCATCCGGGTAAAGATGGTCGATTTTTCGGGGCCAAATTTTCGTATGTTAAGTTACGTAATGTCCCTTTTCGAGGCGAATAAAAGCGGGACCTAAGTAGTGGGTTTGGGAATTTTGGGAAAACTGTAAACGAAGCTCAACAAGGAAAGTGGACGGCGGGGGCTTATGGGGGTTTAAATCCGGGAAGGTAGTTTTAGCCTAAAGATGACTTAAAGGAAACCCAATTTACCTTCTTTTTGTGTTCTTAGGGGAATTTGGGCCCAAAAAATATTGTTTTTACGCTGGACAACGTAGAACTTGCAGACTGTTGTAAGGGGTTATGATCATAGGGGCTGAATGTTTTGAGGGGGAAAGGGGGGGCCCGGGGGAAATCCAAAGGAGTGAATTTCGGGCGAGGGACCTACGTGACTGAACAGAACCGCCAGGATGGACTTAGGCGGGGGTCGGTTGTGGAGTGGGAAGTGGGGGGGAATTGCAATGTGAGGGGGAGCATGAGGGTTGCAGTGAAGCAACTGAGTGCGGTCCGAGGGGATGGGGAACCCGGGGGCGGACAAGGGGGAACGAATGATGTAAAAAAATTGACTTTGTGCTTGAGACGGTTTTCCCAGGAGATGTTCCCAAAACTCCGGAGGAAACCTTGACAGAGGGTATAGAGGGGAAAAAAAGGGGAAACCGGGAAAAAGGGGAAGCATGGGGGGGTTGGAGGAAAAAATGAAATGTGGGTTTTTGCCAAAGTAGTGAGAAGGGATGAGGTGAAAAGGGGTTTGGGAGGTGCACAACGAGGAAGGCAGGGAAAAGCATGGGGGGGAAGAGGAAGGGGTCGAGGAAGCGGGCAGCAGTCACGCCTGACTGGGAAAATTACGTCCTAAACTCCAGCACAAAGACCGGGGGAAAAAGGCGGGGATTGAAGGTGTTTGTTAGGGAAAAGAGAAACAGAAACCCCAGAAGGGGGTTTTAGGAGTGGGGGGGGTGAGGTGAGTTCCCAAAGGCGGTGTGTTGGGGCTACAGGACAGTGGAAAAAAAGGGGGGGGAAAAGTGGGTGGGGGAAAGTTTAAACAGGCCTAAGGTGTTTTGACAATTAATGTTAATGGTTTTTTGTAAGAGTGGTAAGTGTGTATGGTTTAGAGGGTGCTGTATCGGGTTAAAAAGGTAGATGTTTCCTTTTACAAGAGCTTAACTTGAAAGTGGGGAAAAATTTCTGGAGGGGAATAGTATAGGCTTTTTGTAATGCCAAAGAAAGTTTAAAAGGCGGAGTAGGTGTTTTTAAATTTGTGAGGCAAGCCCGTTTTTTTTTTGCCCAAAAATTTGAGGGGGGGGGGGGTTTGAGGGAAAAATAAAGAGAGGGGGGGGTGGTGGAATGGTGAATTTTGTGTCTTTTGTTGGGAGTGTATGTCCGGAGGGGAATGTGTGAGGGTTTAAAAACGGATTTTTTAAGGGGTGATCTGGGGGTATTTCTTGAGAGCACTACCCCGGTTGCAAATTTTATTGGGGGGGGATTGGAATTGCAATTTAAAAAGGAGAGGGTTTATGTGAAACCCGGGGGGGGGGATATTTTTCAAAAGTGTTGCGGGGATTTGTGTGGGGATATTGGGGGAGAGGGTGCATTTTGGAGTGGAAAAAAGGTGAAAATGCAAACATACGTATGTAAGGAGGGACTATTTCAGCTAGACTGGATAGGGGTCTATATAATGCAAGGGGTTTTAGTAGGTTTTTTAATACCATAGAAGCAATTTATTCGTCACAGGGGAGTGGTGGTGGGGGTTGGGGATGGGGTTCGTTTGTGGGAAAAGGTTTGAAAGCTATGGAAATTAAACCGCGAAATCCCTTTAGGGATAAGGGAAATTTGGGGAAGGGGGGGGTTTTCCCTTTGTTGTGGAGGAAAATAAATAAGGAAATGGGGAAAAAAAAGGGGTTTTTAATGTTGTTTTGTTGGTGGGGCATTGTGGCCAAAGGGGGAGGATTCGTAGGTTTTTGTGGGTGGGGGAAGCGTTTTTAAATCAACTAAAAATATTTGGGTTAACAAATTATTTGGGGGAAAATAGAATAGGATACTATCTGGAAGGAGTGTTGGGGGGGGTATTCCCCCAAAAGAGGCAAATGGGAAAGAAAATTAAAAAGAGGGGTTTAAAAGAGGAGCAGGAGGAGTTTTTATTGGGAGGGGCGGGTGCAGGAGGAGTGGAGGAGGTATGGGGGGACAAAAAAATCAAACATGGGGTTTGCGGGGACAACAGCAGAGGAAAGGGCGCGACCCCGGGTAGCGGGAAATTTGAAGTGCACCCCTGGGTGAAAGGAAATTTTTTTGGGGGGGGCAGGTGGGTTTAAAAAAAACGGAGGGGATGAGGATTTTGGGGGATGGGTGGTATGGGCAAAAATTGGAAAAGTAAAGGGGGGAAATAGGGAGGATCTTGAGGGGGGGTGTGCGTAGAAACCCGTTGCTCTGGGGAGAAAAGGGCAGGGAAAACTTTGGGTGGTGATTTTGAAGGGAAAGGGGGGTATTTGGGAAAGGGGGCCTTTCAAAATGCCCCAGGGGCAAAGCACCAAGGGTTTTTGATGGACTGCCAAATGAATTTTTTCTTAAAAAAATTGGGGGGTCGTTTAAGGGGGGTTTTTTTGTATTGCTGTTAATGAATGGGAAAAAGGGGGGGAAATTGGGCGAGGGAAACAAAGTACAGGGGTCGTTGTGCTTGTGCCTAAGGGTAAGGTGCGGTTCCTTAAGGATTACAGGGCGATTTAACTCATGTGGCGGGGCTACCCAAATTTTTCGCGAAGGTTTTAGGGAATGGTTAAAAAGTGTA